TGGAGTGCAGTGGTGCAATCTCTGCTCACTGCAAGCTCTACCTCCTTCTGCGTTCACACCATTCTCCGGCCTCAGCCTCCCGAGTAGCCGGGACTACAGGTACCCGCCACCATGCCCGGCTAATTTTTTGTATTTTTAGTAGAGACAGGGTTTCATCGTGTTAGCCAGGATGGTCTCGATCTCCTGACCTTGTGAGACCTCATACAAAAACTTTACAAATTAGTAGGTAGGGCCAGGCACAGTGGCTCATGCCTGTAATCCCAGCACTGTGGGAGGCCAAGGCAGGAGGATTGCTTGACCAGGAGTTTAAGACCAGCTTGAGAAACATACAGCGACCCTGTCTCTACAAAGATAAAAATAAATTGGCTAGATGTGGTGGCACATGCATGTAGTCCCAGCTACTTGGGAGGCTGAGGTGGGAAGATCTCTTGGTCCCAGGAGGTCGAGGCTGCAGTGAGTCGTGATCATGCTACTGCACTCCAGCCTGGGCAACAGAGTGAGACCTTGTCTCACAAAAAAAAAGAAAAAAGAAAAAGCCATGCATGGTGGTGCACACCTGTAGTTGTAGCTACTTGGGAAGCCAAGGTGGGAGGATTGCTTGAGCCCAGGAGTTTGAAGTTGCAGTGAGCTATGATCACACCACTTGTACTCCAGCCTAGGTGATAGAGTGAGGCCTGGTCTCAATAAATAAATAAATAAAATGCCAATTTGTTCTTTCTGCCCAGGGGTTTGTCCCCCAGCCTCAGCAGATGAGACTTTTGAGCACCATCTTCAGCGACTGAGAAAACTCATTAAAAAGCGCTCTGAACTATATGAAGCTGAAGAGAGAGCCCTCAGAGTTATGCTGGAAGGAGAACAAGAGGAAGAGAGGAAAAGAGAATTAGAAAAGAAACAAAGAAAAGAAAAAGAGAAAATTTTACTTCAGAAACGTGAAATTGAGTCCAAGTTGTTTGGGGATCCAGGTATGTTGCTCTATAACCAGTGGAGAAAATGAAAATACTAGATTGACAGCTCTTCTTATCATGGGTGAACTCAAGCTAAGAGGTAGTAGGCAGCAAAGGACACCTTCCAGATTTGCAATTCTATGTCATAGAACTCATGGATACAGATAAACACATTTGCTCATTCTGTCATAATCATAGGCTCAGTCACCTTGCCTTGAGAAATACATTGTGGATATCAAGCATGATAACATGGTTTTGTGCTTTTCTCTTTCAGACGAGTTCCCACTTGCTCACCTCTTGGAGCCTTTCCGACAATATTACCTCCAAGCTGAGCACTCCCTACCAGCGCTCATCCAGATCAGGTCAGAGGGGCAGGCTCTCCATGTTGTCTTTCCCTTAGGTAGCAAGAAGCACTTGAAGAAGTGCTTACATTGTTTAGGTTTATTACTGTCTTTTTTTTAAGTTCCATAGGGAACTTAAAAAAAATTATGGGTTTATAATGTTTCCATATTCAAGGATGCTGCATACATGTTGTTTAGTCCTCATTAATCCTTGAGAAGTTGATGTCCCTATTTTTATAGGTGAAGAAACAAACTCAGGTTGTGACTTGCTGTATTATCTCATGTTATAGATATTATAGCTGTTACATTGATTTAAAGCATTGGTTTCCTTTTCCAAATTATCTTCGGGTGCTAACCAGACCCAGGAAAAAGAAACTCTCCACTATGTACTTGCCTGTGGAGACGGTTTAAGACCCATGCTGACTTCTGAGCTCTTACAGGTCAAAGCCCAGAAACTTGGGAACAAGGAGGCACATCTGAATCTGCAGTTCTTAAGGAGCTAGGCAGAGTTTTCAGCTCTCTGGGTCTCCCTTTCCTCACCTATAAAATGAAGACAGTGGACTAGACTGTGGACTTCAAACTTGAGCAGAAGCACTCTTCCAAAATGCAGTCTTTGAGGAAACACTATGTAAGATAAATGGAATGAATGGGTTCCCGAGGCAGTATAAATCTGTTGTTGCCTAGAAGCACTTTATTGTTTCTAGACTCCCATAAACATTTGCTTGGGGCCTAGGGGTTTTCAAAGTGTGATTTGAAAATCACTGAACTAAGTGATCTCAGATGTCCCTTCTAAAACCTCAGCTGTTTGTGATTCTCATGAGCATATCAAGTTTATGTTCTAGGAAAAGTTTATTTTTTGCTAATATACAAGTTTTAGCTTCTAAACATAAGTACAGTTGATTCTCATTTTTCATGACAGCTATATTCTCTAAAGTCACTGCAAACACTGATTTCAGAATACTGAACATCACTCCTAACGGAAACACAGGGTTAGGTAGATTCCTGGGAGCCTCTGGTCACAATGTTTTTGTCAGCTGATGAATACCTTGTTGTATGTGTGTTTGTGTTAAAGACACCTTATTTAATATATGTTGTTGATTTACTAACATTGAACTCACGACTAATAGTACTCTACCTCATGCCTAAATGAAGCTTACCTAACACACTTTCTCCACAAAGCACATCACAACCGTCTTGCCGTTAGGAACACTACACTTAGGGCCATTTTAAACAGTAAAGTCGTCAGTAAAAAGCGCAAAAATATGGAAAATGTGGCACTAAATAGAGAAAAGAACCCATTTGTATTAATAGTATGTGCTGAAAACAAGAAGGCAGAGTAAGTATTGCCTTCTTTGATCTCAGCTGGGAACAGTTCATTTTCATGACTCAGATTTTTTTGCCACTCTGTGTGTCTACGAGTATCCATGAAAGAGCTACAAGTGATGATTTGGGGGCTACAAATAAATTTTAGTTAGTAGGCACATATGCAAATACAGAATCTGTAAATAATGAGGATTGACTTTATTATTAGGTTATCCATAAGGCTATAAGTTCTTCAGAGTTTTTTCTCCTTTTATGTGTACATTTAAGAAATGTAGTCATTTTCTTGATTCCTAGAAATCAAGTTCTGTAATAGGTTAGTATATTAGTCATTTGAAAGCTAAGTCTTAGAATATGTAGTTGCTGAACATCTTATTTGAAATAAAACAGAAATAAATAGTTGTTCTATAATGTTCTTATTAAGGCATGATTGGGATCAGTACCTGGTGCCATCCGATCATCCCAAAGGCAACTTCGTTCCCCAAGGATGGGTCCTTCCCCCGCTCCCCAGCAACGACATCTGGGCAACTGCTGTTAAGCTGCATTAGTAAGGATGCTCCAGGAGTGTGGTGCAGCCAACGCTCTTTCCAGCTCTAAATATTAGCGATGGTGCCATCTTTTGCTGTAGACTAAACTGCAACTTCTGAATTCCATGTGGCATTCCCCTACCCTGAAGTTACGCTTTCCTTCTGTGCTCTGTGCTGGCCAGAGGTGCCTCTTAAATCAGATTAATGTGGTTCTTCAAGAAAGGACTTAGGTGAACTGAGGTTTTTACCACAAGCAGTGAATGACCTGGGTTCACCAAATTTGCCTCTGTTTTGAGGGGCTTGGTCCAGAGTGACTAATTTACTCTAACTTCCTTGTGTGTTGAAGGGTAAGTACACTCAAACACTGAATACAGGTGTGCAATGGGTAGATTTCACAGCCCTTCCACTAATAGTGTGAAGGCAAGCTTGATGCAAAACCTCCTGACCTTTCCTACCTGAAGAGCCCTTTGACTTCTAGGAAGAAAGGTCAAAAACGTGTTACTTCTAGGAAGAAAGGTCAAAAACATGTTATCTTCAGTTTTGTTAATCCCAGTTTTGGTGCAGCTTGGGAGGCTGCTAATTAGGAAGACGGCAGTGACTGTAGGCTGGGTTGCCAGAAAATATGGTGGCCTAGTCTTATTATTCAGGTGGGGTACTTAGAAAACCTGAAGAGTACCCAAATTGGATTGTGTTTTAATGGACAATGGCTGCATTTTTTCCATGTTAGAAGGATCCTAATGAAAGCACCTGTTATTTTTAAGTTTCTAAGGGTCTAGTTGTTCAGAATCCCCAAGGATATTTCCTTAACCTCACCCAGTCACATTGTAGGAGCCAGTGTAGCTGTGGAATTATCTTAGGAACTCAAGCTTCTAAAACTATCCATGTAGTCAAATCTGGGGGAAAAGCAAATACAAATAATGAAATATATTTTTTATATTCATTAATAAATGCTGCTGTGCTTGGAGATGATCACTCATATAACGTGTCATTTTTTTGGTTCTGTTTTGATTTAGTTTTTGCCAATTATTTTGTTATATTTCCAAAAAACTAAATAAAAATCATTTTATTTTTTAGTTTGTGCCTTTGCTGCCAATTTGTTGCCTTCCAAATCACTTAGCACACACTTTCACATTGATGAAACGTGTTTTCATTCAAAAATTCAAATTTATTAAGCAGGCATTTGTTACAGGAATGTGAATCTTAAACGTCAAACTTTATCTGCAAAATCCACGTCTGGATTGGTAAAGATACCGTCAATTTTGGAAATAATGTTAATGTACTGTAATTGGAAGCTTTTGGGTGCGAGATACTAATGCCTTTGTCCCTTTTCTGTTGTTTGATTTGCATTAATTTATACATTATATAGAGTTAACAGATAGGGAATGAGAGCCACATGTCTCCAAAATTTATGTCTACGTTTATAAATCCTAAAATCTGATATGATTACCCTCGTAGAACTCCACAATCCTGTGTGCCTTTTTGTTAGATATCTCCACCATTTGCTTTCTGATGAGATGCAGGAAGAGTAGAAATAAGGTGAATTGTACAATGTGTGTTTGGTGTCTGGACAGCCTTGCCACTAAGACATCTGCTGTGAGGGCAGGGAATGTGCTACAGGGACTCAGGAAAACTCAGGCAGCAGAACCCAAGAAGGTGGCATTTAGCCACAGATGGAGAAAAAAAAAATCCCTTTTCCTTTTGGCCCTTGCAAGGTTTTAATAGAGTGAGCAGGCCGGGTGTGGTGACTCACACCTGTAATCCCAGCACTTTGGGAGGCCGAGGCAGGTGGATCACCTGAGGTCGGGAGTTGAACACCTGCCTGGCCAACATGGTGAAATCCCATCTCTACTAAAAATACAAAAATTAGCCAGGCATGATGGCAGGCGCCTGTAATCCCAGCTACTTGGGAGGCTGAGGCAGGAGAACCACTTGAAGCCAGGAGGCGGAGGTTGCAGTGAGCCGAGATCACACCATTGTACTCCAGCCTGGGCAACAGAGCGAGACTGTCTCAAAACAAAATTTAAAAAAAAAAGTTGTTTGGTATTTATTTGTAAGATTTTCCTGGTTTATTACCTGTGTAGTGGTGGTGGCAGCAGTCACTGGTTGTTTCAGGTTTAGAGAGACTCATGGTAGTGTCTTTAATGAACTGTACTTTCAAGAATATGAGCAGTGTTACTGTAATCTTATCCCACAGTCTTTTTTTTTTTTTTTTTTTACTTGGGAAAATTTCAAATACATTAAAAAATAAAGAGAATAGTGCAATGATTTTTTTCCATGTACCCATCATCCAGCTTCAAGTCATTATCAGCTCATGGCCAATCTTGTTTCATCTGTGCATCCTCCACTCACCCTGGATTATTTTGGAGCCAATCTCAGGCATCAAGTTATGTCATCCGTAAATATTTCATTATGTAGCTTTAAGCGATTTAAAAAAAAATCTAACCATAGGACCATTATCACATCTAAATAAATGAATAATAACTCCTTAATATCACAAACATCCAGACATTGTTCAAGTTGCCCTCTCATAAATGTGTTTTACATTTTGTTCAAATTAGGATCTAAATAGAATCCATACACTGTTGTTTGCAACCTTGTGATGCTGTGTCCCTCTGTTCTCGTATATACTGTAATTTAGTAGTTAAACAGAGCTGTACTGTCCAATATAGTAGCCACATTCAGCTATTGAGCACTTGAAATGATCTATTTGAGTTGAGATGTGCAATTACATATGTGGATCACATGTTTCAATTGGATAGTGCTGATCTAGAGGCTTGATCACATTTAGATTGGAATTTTCTGGCAGGAATACTTCACAGACATGATGTGTACTTCCAGTCAGGAGGCACTAATGTCTTGGCTTTTTTTGTGATGTTAGCAGCCCACTGATAAGAGCTAGATTCATTCATTGATGGGGAGGGGAGTCAAAAATAGTGGTAGTTTAATTCTGTTATTCTTCAATTACTAACTGGAATACTTTTTAAAAGAAAAACTGTACAAAAGCATTTGTTTTTAATAAATTCGGTAAATACAGAGAAGATTAGAAAGCTATGAGAGAAAGAGATTAGTTCTTAAATACTAAGGGTATTTAGCCCAAGTGGCTGAGTTTATGATGTCAAAGAATTTGCTTCTACAAGCCAACCAACTTAATCACCCTAAAACCATTCATGCTCCTATGCCCATGTGACATTTGTAACAAGAAGCTTAGGCTTATACCATCTGTTGTAGCTATTCACTTACACATGCTTTGTCTGCAGGGAAGCTCTCCTGGATTTTACAAGGTAAGTACAAAGTATATCTTATTCCATTTAAATAAGTATAATATGCAATATATGAAAGGAATGTGAACGCTCTGAAATAGTAGTGATTTATGGAATAGTGATTAAATGAGACATTATCAACTAAATTTTGTTTTTTGCCACCTATTTGTCCCACATTTTTTTTTAATGTTTAGAACCTATAAGCTATTTCCGGATGATGAGTCGTTTACCTTTTTGTGAATCCACAGAGTAGTTCCTGGCTTGCCATTTCTGGGCCACACATGAAGAGTATGTTTCCATGGCAGAGTTCATTGGCCTTTTGGAATAAATTTGGTTTTTCATAGCCTCCAAAGCAAAGATTAAGGTCTCTGAGGCAAGTGGTGTTAGAGTGCATAACTGTGTAGAACAGTGGACACTTTCCTCAGCTTTGTTAATTCATGCTGGCCACAGTCTGGATACCAGGATTTAAATTATG